GAGAGACAGAAAGAGAGATATGAACCAACTGAGATAGATAGATAGATAGATAGATAGATAGATAGATAGATAGATAGATAGATAGATAGATAGATATGAACAGACTGAGATAAATAGATAATGAACAGATTCAGATAGATAGATAGATAGATAGATAGATAGATAGATAGATAGATAGATAGATATGGACAAACTGAGATAGATAGATAGATAGATAGATAGATAGATAGATAGATAGATAGATAGATAGATAGATAGATGTTTTGCCATGATATTCTTTGAATTCCGGACGTTACAGGTTGAATGACATTCATACCATTTTCAAGTTGTCTTAGAATTAAAGGAATTACGAGCAAATCGGATACGCCAAATGAAAAGCATGAACGCTAAACACCCTCCAACCGTCAACCTCGACACGGAATGCTGGGTGAGACAATCCACTGACGGATCTTTGTTAGCGCTTGGGAAAGGGACAGTTTGACGACGGTTGTTAACCACTGCTACCCGACAAGGTATTTAGGTATTTCCTGCGACGAACGACCACAAGAGGAGATTTTTGAATTAGGACCGAACGCCTTGCAACAATCTTGCTTTGCAAGGATTGCAATAATGAATATATGGTTGCCAGCTCAAGAAGCGTACCACAAAAGGAAGGTATCAAAATCAAAGAAAAACACAGGTTTAAATATCTAGCTAGCGCTTTAAGAGAAGATATAAAAAGGAAAAAAGGTGCCTTCGAAAAATTAAGCAAAGTATTAAGAAACAGGAACATTTCATCAGAAACTATTATGTAATATCAGTTCTCCTCTGTTGTGTTAATAAAATCGAATTCGATTTAAAATGAGATATAAATTATATAGCAATAATAAATCTGATTTTTCCTCTCCAGTAGCACGACTCAGAGTTTCATGTGTACAGAATTCGTAGATTGAAAACAGTAACAAACTGAGATAGATAGATAGATAGATAGATATGAACAGACTAAAATAGATAGATAGATAGATAGGAACAGACTAAAATAGATAAATAGATAGATAGAAACAGACAGATATATAGATAGATAGATAGATATGAACAGACTAAAATAGATAGATAGATAGATAGATAGATAGATAGATATATAGATATGAACAGACTGAGATAGATAGATAGATATATAGATAGATAGATAGATATGAACAGACTGAGATAGATAGATAGATAGATAGATAGATAGATAGATAGATATGAACAGACTAAAATAGATAGATAGATATATAGATAGATATGAACAGACTGAGATAGATAGATAGATATGAACAGACTGAGATAGATAGATAGATAGATAGATAGATAGATAGATAGATAGATAGATAGATAGATATGAACAGACTGAGATAGATAGATAGATAGATAGATAGATATGAACAGACTGAATAGATAGATAGATAGATAGATAGATACTCATTTCTCCATTCCTTTTTACACTGTTGGCTATTGCTCTCTCTCTCTCTCTCTCTCTCTCTCTATCTATCTATCTATCTATCTATCTATCTCTCTCTTTCTTTCTCTCTCTCACTCTCTCTCTCTCTCTCGTCTCACAAGCGTCCCTCCCTATTCATCTATTCTCTCTCTTTTCTGACTCTCCTTACCTTCTTTATTTATTTTCTTTATCTGACTCTCCTTGCTTTCTTATTCATCAATTCCATCTCTCTGACTCTCTTTTCTTCCTCTCTCTATCTGACTCTCCTTTCTTCTTCTCTCTATCTGACTCTCCTTTCCTCCCTTATTTAACTCTTCTCTGTCTTTGCCCCTTTCTTGCCTAATGTATTTATTTTCTGTCTCTGTCTATCTCTCTGTCTCTCTCTGTATTTCTCTCTCTCTCTCTCACTTATCTAACTCTCCTTTCCTCCTTTATTTATATATTCTTTTTTCTCTCTTCTTTCACTCCATATTCTTATATTCTCTCTCTCTCTCTCTCTCTGACTCTCCCTATCTCCTTTATTTATCTATTCTCTCTCTATATGTGACTCTACTTTCTTCTCATATCTATCTATCTATCTATCTATCTATCTATCTATCTATCTATCTATCTCCGACTCTCCTTTCTCTCTTTTTCCTCCCTTCCTTCCTCTCCCTCTGATTCTCCTTTCTTACCTATTCCTATATTCTCTCTCTCTCTCTATATATATATATATATTGACTCTCCTTTCTCTCTTTTTCCTCCCTTCCTTCTTCTCCCTCTGATTCTCCTTTCCTATCCTATTCCTATATTCTCTCTCTCTCGCCTTCTCTCACTCTTTCTCTCTCTCTCTCTCTCCCTCTATATATATATATATATATATATATATATTGACGCTCTCTTTTTCCTCCCTTCCTTCCTCTCCCTCTGATTCTCCTTTCCTACCCTATTCTTATATTCTCTCTCTCGCTCTCTCTCTCTCTCTCTCTATATATATATATATATATATATATATATGTTGACGCTCTCTTTTTCCTCCCTTCCTTCCTCTCCCTCTGATTCTCCTTTCCTACCCTATTCCTATATCCTCTCTCTCGCTCTCCCTCTCTGTCTCTCTCTCTCTCTATATATATATATATATATATATGTTGACGCTCTCTTTTTCCTCCCTCCCTTCTCTCCCCTATGATTCTCCTTTCCTACCCTATTCATTTTATCTCTCTCTCCCTCACTCTCTGTCTCTCTCTCTCTGTCTCTCTCTCTCTCTCTCTCTCTATATATATATATATATATATATATATATATATATATATTGACGCTCTCTTTTTCCTCCCTTCCTTCCTCTGCCTCTGATTCTCCTTTCCTACCCTATTCATTTTATCTCTCTCTTTCTCCCTCTATCTAATTATCCATCTATCTGGCTCTCTTTACTTCCCTTATTCATCTATTCTACTGTTCTCCCCGCCTAAGAGATCCCCCCCGCCCATTACTTTTACTTTTTCTCATTTTTTAAAGAAATTATTTTGACATTGTTATCATGTAAAAAGCATCGTTCTACGTACTAATCATTTTTGTAGCCCTCCAAGTAAGGCAAGGGTGAAAGTCAAGGCCGTAGTTAATTATTTCTTCATGTGTGGTGAAACCCTGACTCCAAGTACCGGCCCAGCTCTTGTCAAAAGCGTTTCCCTGAACTTTGAAGTCAAAGCGATTTGGATCGCGCTGTAAGCGAGTCAATGCTGGACATATTTGCCAATCAAAACTGACTTGTCAAACATTGTCGCCGTCACACTAAAAACACCACCAAGATGACTTGTGTGTTAATTACCATATGAGGAATATGAGGTTTTCTTGAAAGCAAGGTTACTCGGCATTGTCAGTCCCCAGAATGCTGAAAAAAAATGGTCGCTCCATTCTACCGCTCCAGAAGGTACTCTTCCTGTCTTGCTTTATCTTTACAAGAGTCAAATTAAACTAATAATGACGCATTGCTGCTATATCTGGGCAGCTTTTACGCAATTTTCAATTTCCAGCCTTAACTGAATTAGAAATTCTTATGTATAGCTGTCCACTCGTAGTCTACTTCTTTCTGGAAAAGAGCGTGTTATCTAGTGTGATCAACAATTTTAACAAGGCCAGCACGCTCAAGCCATCGGCCACGATGACTTTTGTATTCGTGCTAGCACAGCTATCGGCGACACCCAAGGGTTCTGTCTACCCAATTTCACTCACAAGGCTTGGGTCAATACTATGTATAATTTTTATTTATTATCTGGTGATTTTATAGTAGCTTGGTATATTACGTTGTTTTGTAAACAATTACCGTTTAAGGGACATTCGATCTTTATTCTGCAGTTACACGTGTGTTTAATTTGTTCATGTGGTTTGTTGATGATTTTCCTGTTGTGCTTTTTTATTATTTATGCCATGTTCTCGGTGCAACTCTAGCTGATTTTTACTGTGTTTTTGTTGAATATTTTGTGTAGGGTGCTTGATTCTGAGAAGTTTTTGTGTAAAGTCCTGAATGATGAGGCCCTGAAGGCGACCTTAGAGGAAGACAACACCCAAATCTGTGGTGAGCTTGTCGATCGCTTTCTGGTTTCTGATGAAACAGTCACGCTTCACCTGCACGGCATAGGGAAGGAATACAAGTTGAGCAAGTGGTTACCCCACACTGTCAGAAGTCAACGAACAACAACGAGCGATAGCCTGTTTCTCGTTGCTTTCTCGACACCGCAACGTATCCATTTTTGATCACTAGTGACAAAAAGTGAGTCCTGTATGACACTCCCAAGAGAGCCAGACATTGTTCGTCACAACGGGATCCTGTGCCTCACACCACAAGACCAGCTCTACACCCACGCAAGATCATACTCTGTATCTGGTGGACTAGTCGATAAGTGGTGCACTATGAGCTTCTACCGACGGGCACAACCGTCACTTCGGACCTGTACTCACAACAGTTGAGGCTGGAGGTGCCAGTATTGCTTAATCGCAAGGGTATACTGTTCCTCCTTGACAACCCCAGGCCTCATGTGGCGCGGGTGGCCTGATAACTTGGCCGGGAGACACTGTTTCGTCTACCTAACTCTGCTGAACTTGCGTCAACAGATTATCACCTCTTTCATTCCCTGGACAACAACCTTTGTGAGAAATCGTCCAAAAATGAGGGAAACTTGCAACAGGCACTCAAAGATTTCTTTCCGTCCAAGATACCTGATTTTTACCCACAAAGCATTGCGCAGCTGGTGGTAGGTTGAGGTTGATATGCCGTAAAACAAACCAAACCAAACTAAACTTGAATAGTTTTATTATAAACCAAACCAGAATTAGAGGGATAGACAAGAAATGATCAACAAAAATTGGCTCATAAGATTCTGTGAATATTCGATGAACTTATTTGTTCATTGTCTTATTTTGTGAAAGCAACGGAAAGGGTTAAAAGTTTCAAAAAAGAGAAGTTTTGTTGCATGACTGAATTATGTTTGCCAAATTCTCTTCAAAAAGCTGTTGCTTATTAGACAATATTCCAGGATCTAAACATCAAACTTAATTGTTATCGCTAAAGAAGAATAAGGAGGAGAAAAAGAAGGAAGAGCAGGAGGAGAAAAGAAGAAGTAGCAGAAGTAAAAGAAGAAAGAGTAGGAGGAGAAAAGAAGATGTAGCAGGAGGAGAAAAAGAAGAAAGAGCAGGAGGAGAAAAAGAAGAAAGAGCAGGAGGAAAAAAGAAGAAGTAGCAGGAGGAGAAAAGAAGAAGTATCAGGAGGAGAAAAGGAAGGAAGAGCAGGAGGAGAAAAGAAGAAGTAGCAGGAGGAGAAAAAGAAGGAAAAGCAGGAGGAGAAAAGGAAGGAAGAGCAGGAGGAGAAAAGAAGAAGTAGCAGGAGGAGAAAAAGAAGGAAAAGCAGGAGGAGAAAAGGAAGGAAGAGCAGGAGGAGAAAAGAAGAAGTAGCAGGAGGAGAAAAGGAAGGAAGAGCAGGAGGAAAAAAGAAGAAGCAGGAGGAGAAAAAAAGAAGGAAAAAGCAGGAGGAGAAAAGAAGAAGAGGAGGAGAAAAGGAAGGAAGAGCAGGAGGAGAAAAAGAAGAAGGAGGGAGGAGAAAAAGAAGGAAGAGCAGGAGGAGAAAAGAAGAAGTAGCAGGAGGAGAAAAAGAAGGAAAAGCAGGAGGAGAAAAGAAGATGTAGCAGGAGGAGAAAAAGAAGAAAAGCAGGAGGAAAAAGAAGAGCAGGAGGAGAAAAAGAAGGAAGAGCAGGAGGAGAAAAAAGAAGGAAGAGCAGAAGGAGAAAAGAAAGGAAAAAGCAGGAGGAGAAAAAAAGGAAGAGAAGGAGGAGGAAAAAGAAGAAGTATCAGGAGGAGAAAAGGAAGGAAGAGCAGGAAGAGAAAAGAAGAAGTAGCAGGAGGAGAAACGAAGAAGTAGCAAAAGGAGAAAAGGAAGGAAGAGCAGGAGGAGAAAAAGAAGATGTAGCAGGAGGAGAAAAAGAAGAAAGAGCAGGAGGAGAAAAGAAGAAGTAGCAGGAGGAGAAATAGAAGAAAGAGCAGGAGGAGAAAAGAAGAAGTAGCAGGAGGAGAAGAAGGAGGAAGAGCAGGAGGAGAAAAGAAGATGTAGCAGGAGGAGAAAAAGAAGGAAGAGCAGTAGGAGAAAAGAAGAAGTAGCAGGAGGAGAAAAAGAAGAAAGAGCAGGAGGAGATAAGAAGAAGTAGCAGGAGGAGAAAAAGAAGAAAGAGCAGGAGGAGAAAAGAAGAAGTAGCAGGAGGAGAAAAGGAAGGAAGAAGCAGGAGGAGAAAAGAAGAAGGGGAGGAGGAGAAAAGGAAGGAAGAGCAGGAGGAGGAAAAGAAGAAGTAGCAGGCGGAGAAAAAAGGAAGGAAGAGAGGAGGAGAAAAGAAGAAGAAGTAGCAGGAGGAGAAAAAGAAGGAAGAGCAGGAGGAGAAAAGAAGAAGTAGCAGGAGGAGAAAAAGAAGGAAAAGCAGGAGGAGAAAAGAAGAAGTAGCAGAAGTAAAAGAAGAAAGAGTAGAAGGAGAAAAGAAGATGTAGCAGGAGGAGAAAAAGAAGAAAAAGCAGGAGGAAAAAAGAAGTAGCAGGAGGAGAAAAAGAAGGAAGAGCAGGAGGAGAAAAAGAAGGAAGAGCAGGAGGAGAAAAGAAGAAGTAGCAGGAGGAGAAAAAGAAGGAAGAGCAGGAGGAGAAAAGAAGAAGTATCAGGAGGAGAAAAGGAAGGAAGAGCAGGAGGAGAAAAGAAGAAGTAGCAGGAGGAGAAACGAAGAAGTAGCAAAAGGATAAAAGGAAGGAAGAGCAGGAGGAGAAAAAGAAGATGTAGCAGGAGGAGAAAAAGAAGAAAGAGCAGGAGGAGAAAAGAAGAAGTAGCAGGAGGAGAAAAAGAAGAAAGAGCAGGAGGAGAAAAGAAGAAGTAGCAGGAGGAGAAAAAGGAGGAAGAGCAGGAGGAGAAAAGAAGATGTAGCAGGAGGAGAAAAAGAAGGAAGAGCAGGAGGAGAAAAGAAGAAGTAGCAGGAGGAGAAAAAGAAGAAAGAGCAGGAGGAGAAAAGAAGTAGCAGCAGGAGGAGAAAAAGAAGGAAAAGCAGGAGGAGAAAAGAAGATGTAGCAGGAGGAGAAAAAGAAGGAAAAGCAGGAGGAGAAAAGAAGAAGTAGCAGAAGTAAAAGAAGAAAGAGTAGAAGGAGAAAAGAAGATGTAGCAGGAGGAGAAAAAGAAGGAAGAGCAGGAGGAGAAAAGAAGAAGTAGCAGGAGGAGAAAAAGAAGAAAGAGCAGGAGGAGAAAAGAAGATGTAGCAGGAGGAGAAAAAGAAGGAAAAGCAGGAGGAGAAAAGAAGAAGTAGCAGGAGGAGAAAAAGTAGGAAGAGCAGGAGGAGAAAAGAAGTAGCAGGAGGAGGAAAAGAATAAAGAGCAGAAGTAGAAGAATTAGGAGGAGGGTGATGGAGAAGAATAAGAGAAAAAAAGGAGAAGGGAAAAAAATGAGGAAAAAAATAAAAAAGAAAATGAAGAGAAAAAAGCAGAAATGAAAAGTGGGAGGAGGGAAATAAGTAAGAGAGGAGAAGATGTTGAATAATGAGGTGGAGGAAAAGAATGAGAAGGAAGAAAAGAAGTAGAAGAAGAGAAAGAGAAAGAGATGTAAAGTATGGGGGGGAGGAAGAAGTAAAAGAGAGAAGAGGAGGAGCAGAAGAAGAAAAAGATGGAGGACGACGATGACGAAGAGAAGAAGAAGAAGAAGAAGAAGAAGAAGAAGAAGAAGAAGAAGAAGAAAAAAATAGCCATGGATAAGCTCAACATAAAAGCCTTCTTCAAATACCAAAACTTATTGTTCATGCCATTTTCTAAGAGGGTTTTAAAGAATTACTCGGTTAATGTGGAGAGATTCCTGGTTTGACAAGGCTGTCTTCTATGGAATCATGTTCCTCAAATTGCTATTTTGTATTTAGCGTGAAACTTCCAAAGCCAAAAGCAAAAATCATTGGATTTGAGAAGAGAAAATCCTGATTGACGGTGGTCACCACCACATTGGCTAACTGATTACCTCTTTTGAATATTCGGCTAAATAATTGTACATTCGGCAGCTATAATGTTTTTAACGACTGCACACACACACACACACACACACACACACATACATATATATATATATATTTGTGTATTTAGGCAGCAATCCTCCTTTCATGCACATTTCATTGAAAACGACAGACAAGGTGCTTTTATTTAGCTTTTTATACAATTTCTCATGCGATCTATTTTTTTTTTCTTTTCGGGTGATAAATTATATAAAAATAATAATTCACCTCCTAGAACAAAATTAAATAGGGCAAATATTATTTACGAATTTAAATGCCCATTAAGGAATTGTATTCCCGATCAATCAACTTTCGTAAATAATTATATAGGCCACACTACAACATGTTTGACATACAGACTCACTCTACACCTTTCTGACCATAGCTCAATTAGATCTCATTTAAATATTCATAGAGACCTACCGGACACTATTCATAAGATACTTGTTGACAACACAAATATAATAGCATCATCTACCTGCAAAAAAGGCTAAAAATAATGGAAGCCTTATTAATAAAGACAAAAAAAAACAACAAAAACAATTAGATCGCATGAGAAATTGTATAAAAACTAAATAAAAACATCTTGTCTGTCGTTTTCAATGAAATATATATATAGTGACTGAGAGGACTCGATTGACTTTACCGAAGAGTCTTGCTATAATAGCCGTAATAGCGACTGTTCAAAAACCCACATTTCCTCCCCCAGCGAGCTCAACTGAAATATGCCGCGCGTAACAACAAAATTGTCTAAATCATTTAACACATGGGGTAATTGTTAATCCCATAAAATGTTTAATATCTAAAAAGCCACTAAATTAATTCATTTTCTTGTTTCCAGGTTTTCAGATAAGGCGTTTAGCCATCTTGGCACCATTTGTCATAAGAATCACTGAAAAACCCTTTGACCTAGAAAGAGAACAGGTTAAAATCATTTTGTGTCAGCCCCACTGTCTTCCCAAATGAGCAATGGTGAGAGGAAAAAGATCATTCACGCTTTCAGTAAAAGTGCCAACATTCATACTCTGACTCCCAGCTTCAGAGTCCATTCAAGAACCATCAAGAGAACGGTGGATAAGTTTTAAAAAAGAGGGAACAGTAGAGAGGATCGGTGGGGGGGTCATAGCAGGAAGAGAGATCATCATTTCACCTTAGACCTAAATACATTCTTATTGTTCAAAGTAGAGTCCAATAGTGTTATAAAAAAAAAAACTCGTAGAATGCCAGTAAGATATCTTTAATCATTTCTATGATACAACGATACAAAGCTTAATGGACAATTTTGCTGTTACACGATTTGGACAATTTTGCTGTTACAACCGGTATATATATATGGTGTCCAGTAATAATGGGAGGGTAATAAATATATTTATTACATAACTGATATACAAGGTTTCGACATATCTCAGATTTGAATATTACATCTCTGAGATGGTCACCACCACGAAGAGAACTTGTACGAGCTCACTCTCTCATTTCAAACATAGACATTACGACATTATGAGGGTCCACCGCCAGAGAAATAGATACGAAATAGCCCAAGGTGATAGCAAAATCTTGGATAATACGTCGATATTATATATGTGTATATCAATTATGTAATAAATATAGTTGGCACTCATTGTCATTTTTGTAATCCAAGATATTTGCATTTAAAATGCGTTCCGTCATTATGGGTACCATATATATATATATATATATAATAATTAAGTAATCCGTCGAGTGCAGAAGAAACCTCAGCAGAAGGCAGAAAGCACTGGACGGCCGTTTCGTCCTATATTTCGGACTCATCAGCAGTGCGTATTCACTACCGAGATTAGAAACCCGAATAGTTACGATAGGAGGTAAACGCCATACCAACTGTACCAACGGGCCTCGGTGACGAAGAGGTAACGAATTAGACTCGATATAACGCCGCTCTTTCACATATTCCGTGGTGGAACTCATCCGAGTATCTCTTATATATATATATAGGACGAAAACGGCCGTCCAGTGCTTTCTGCATTCTGTTGAGGTTTCTTCTAGACTCGATGACTTACTTAATTATGATTATTTAAAATGCTCCCAATTATATATATATATATATATATATATATATATAAGTTTCATTAAAAAAAAACTGACAAGCCTCGTAATATATCCACATGTAAAAAAATGATAAAAACAATGAAAAAAAAAAGAAATAGCCAACACTCAATAATATCAACTATGAACACTGCCACAATGTACTGACCGTGTTTGGAATATAAAACATACAGTTAAAAGTAAAAATATAGCCAAAATCGCTCGGACATATAGAACATTCTATTTAATTTTTGTCCCGAAAGGAAGAAAATTAAAAGAACACAAGAGAAATTAAATAAAACACTTAACCGCAACACCTTGACATTCGTTTTTAATACATGCATATATGTATATATACATACATATGTAAAACTTTATCAGAATTAACCTGTAGAAAAAGACAATATATATTAAGAAAAAAGACAATAGAAAAACTGTAGTTTTATGTGTTGCCTTTTTCTACAAGTTAATTCTGAGAAATCTTTTACATATTTATCAACATGGAAAATCAAAACACACACACACATACATATATATATATATATATATATATATATATATATATAACTACATTTTTCCTATTGTCTTTTATCTTAATATATATATATATATATATATTGGTGAGTGTATGCAAAGACTTAGGGACTTTCAAACTCCTGAACAATCCAAAGCCTCAATCTAGAATCCTCTGCTACAGCTAGCTTAAATGCCATCAAATAGGGCGGCTTTTATATATGCACGGTAGAGTAATGGATATCAGCTTGGATTGAGGAATTGGAAAGCCGAGTTCGAATTTCAGTCGAATCCATTACATTCACTTACGTGCTAATACTCTTGGAAAAGGTGCGAATCCTCTCCCTCCAGCTATGAGTAAATAGCAAGACAGACTGGGTTCTATAGCCTTGGATGGCAACTGGTCTAGGAGAAGGACATCTCTGAATCCAAAAGGATCATTAGGGGGCCTTGTGGCACGTAGTGCACCAGGTTTCTGTATTCGGGCCTTCAAAAAGTGTGGATGTTTCTGCAGGAAACCTTCACCACTATAATCAAATCTCATGTGCTGGTGTCGGGCTGCCGGTTTCCTGGGAACTTATCTGCTTGACCCTCAACGTCGAATTCGAGGGGAGAGGATATATATATATATATATATATATGTACACTTTCTTAACTTTATAGATTGTGTTTTTGTATTTCATTATTTGAATAAGACTTAAGATTTTAAATATAAGTCATTGTTAATCTTCAACTGTTTTTAATTTCTTTCTAGATTTGTATAGGTATCTGTCTTCCTGTTCGCCCCCCTCTCTACTTGGGTTTTTCTTTCCCTTTTTTTTTCTCTCAATCTCCCTCTTAAATGCATTTTCCCTTATTTACGATTTTTTTCCCTTTTTTTTCGTTTCTTTTCTCCCTCTTTCTTTCTATCCTTTTTAATTTTCAATTTAAAAAAAAAAACGACGATTAATTTTTTTTTAGCAAACGTTGAATAATTTTTTTTTTTTTTAGAAAACGTTTTAGTATTGACAAGCTCCAGAAAATTAATCTCTCAAGGAGCGAAATGGCCATAAAAATAGGGTACAATTGAGTTTCATTTTTATGTAATTCATTTATATACTCCATAATAAATATATTGAATTCTCTTTTGTAGATCAGTTTTATAATATTGTATATTATTAGGACTCACTTGGATTACTTATCCACGGATTTTTAACTATATATATATATTAGATATATGACTGCATATGTATGTGTATATTTACCACTAATATTATCAATATATATATATATATATATATATATATATATATATATATATATATATATTCCGACATTTTTATGTTTATACATTCTTTTTTTTTATTTTGTTTATTATAAACAGACCATTTACTTAAATATTTGTATCTATAAAAAAAAGGAATCTATAAACATAAAAATGTCTTAAAATAATTGTCGGACTTTGTCCATTTCATAAAGTGTGACGTCATTTGTTTACATTTGGATACGCCGTGAGCAGATATGAATGTACGTGAGAGAATCATGGAGGATTATAGTTTAAAGAAAGTAAAATCGACCTTGCTAACCGAACGCTCCTCTGTGGCCCAATCGTTAAAAGCACGTCAGGCTATATGACGGTTCCGTATAGGATACAGGTTCGATTCCTGTCGAAGGACGCATATTTTCTATGGCAATTTCTCGGACATTCAGGCTGGTAAATGTCGTTTAATACAGAGCATTTAATTATAAATTTGTATATATAAAAAAAAGAATGTATAAAAATCTCTTAAAATAATTGTTGGACTTTGTTCACTTCATAATATGTATATGGCTTTTTTTTTAATTCTTTTCGTGGTAATATACGGGACGCTGTATGCGAAAACAGTTTAGAAAAAAATCAAATGAATAAAATCTTTTAGCAGAGAAAAGTAAATAACCGGTAAATTACTCACCCCCGCCAAAAAAAAAAAAAAAGACGGGTGGGGATGTGGCACTATGACAAGATAGATAGTTGGCGAAAATGACGGTTGACTGAGCCGAGAAGGGATAAAAAAAAATGGTTGACATCCGAAATCTGTAAAAAGACACCGGCTTCGTGTCAAAAAAGGAACCATAACAAATCCTAAAATAAAGAAAACGCTTACAATAACATACGTTAAAAACTTCACACTGACATATATATATATATATATATATATATATATATATATATATATATATATATATATATATATATGACGAGAGGGTTTATTTTACCACGGTGGATTATACGTATATGTGAGTTTATAAATACGAATATATTAGCCTGTCACAGTCTTTGTGATATATTGTAAGAGATTCTGTAATTAATTGTCAAATTGTTTTTTCTATTGTATAAATACATGTGCGTACGCTATTCTATATCTTTACCTGAATATATATATATATATATATATATATATATATATATATCCAAATAAATATATATATATATATATATATATATATATATATATATATATATATATATATATATATATATATATAGGTTAACTATACACGTTTCGAAAAACCCTCAGATTTTTGATTTGCAAACAATCAAATCAACCTCGAGGGAAAAAAAGGTTTTAAAAAAAGAAAGAGCTAGAAAAAAATCGCACAGATACAGGTCTGAAGCCCAAAGAAAAAACTCCGATACGAGTAAACAACTAACTAACAAAAGAGCTCAATTCAACCGTAGAGCAGACCGGCTTTCCCTGACGATCCGTTTAGGTGAAACCTAGGTAGGTTTGTCTGGATCACTATATATATATATATATATATATATATATAAGAACAGACAGATTAATAAGCCACAGTTCATTAGCATTTAGTTGTTTTTTTTTTTAAAGTGCTCGATACAAAGAAGTTCAAATTATTTTAATATTGATATTTCAGTCATACACGAGTTTGTCGTTGCTTTAAAATTTTTCATGTAACAAAAACAGACTATCATTATTGTTTCGTCCGTGTATTGTTTGATATATGAAATGTAATTGTCATCTTTGATAATGTCTTATGTAAGCCGAAAGCTTAGATTGGATTTAAACATGTATCAATATGGGGATTTCCTTTCATCTTTCAATGATAATGTTATTAAGCTTATCAGACAATATGAAAGGAACTTACTTAAAATAAATAGACAAAACTTTCTATATTATTTAATGAAACATGCATTAATATATATATATATATATATATATATATATATATATGGAGAGAAGTAAAGGTAATAAATCCGTTGGTATATAATCCAAGTGGATCCGTATATATATATATATATATATATATATATATATATATATATATATAAACCCCTCTCACACACACATATATATATATATATATATATATATATGTGTGTGTGTGTGTGTGTGTGTGACGAGGGGTTTATTTTACCACTGTGAATTATACGTATGTGTGAGTTTATAAATACGAATATATATGTATCTTTTTAGCTGAATGAATATATATATATATATATATATATATATATATATATATATATTATAGATACAAATATTTAAATAAATGCTCTAAATAACATTTACCGGCCTGAATGTCTGAGAAATTTTCATAAAAAGCATTCGTCCTCCGATAGGAATCGAACCTGTAACCTGTACGAAATCGTCATATAGCCTGACGTGCCTTAACCGATTGAGCCACAGAAGGTCGTTTGGTTCGCAAGGCCGATTTTACTGCTTTTAAACTACAATCTTCCATGATTCTCTTACGTGCATTCATATTCTGCTCAAAAAGCGTATCCAACTGTAAACAAATGACGTCACACATTATGACACACACACACACACACACACACACACACACACACACACATATATATATATATATATATATATATATATATATATATATATATATAAATATAAAATAAAAAAGAACAGTCAGATTGATAATCCACAGATCTTTAGCATTTATTAAAAAAGTGCTCAGTACGAAGTAGATCAAAATATTTTAATATATTTAAAAATATTTTTTTTTATCGCGACAGGAAATTTTTACGTTTCGGAACATTTTACATATAAATTTAATATATATATATATATATATATATATATATATATATATATATATATCGATCCTTAATTGGTATCTTGACTCCAGTCACTTTCTCACAGACTTCCCTCTGTCTTTTCTACAAATATTTCCATAGCTACTGTTCTGTCAATCTTTTTTACCTGGTGCCCCGACTCCGTGAATTTTAGCGTACTACTAGACTGGCAGTTAGGTCCCACCTTTTTACCACTGAAATAGTTAAATATAACCCGACACTTCTACGCCAAATTTTCTTTTCTCGCACTTCCTGCCTATGTAATTCCCTTCCGTTTACTTGCTTCCCTGATAACCACAAACTTCAAAGATTTAAATGCAACGTCAATCGCCATATTCTGATGTCTTGAAATCAATGTGTGTCTGTAGGCCTGTTTGTGTGTAAGGGTAGCGGTTTATTAATAACAATAATAATAATAATTACATTAGTAAAATGGACGGAGATGTTACGTGCGTGTGTGTGCTTGTGGGGTCTGGATAGTCCTCGGTAAATACGCCTTGTTAGAGTTTGTTCAGATATAGTTTGTATTTTTGAATAAATATGTTTTATTTATTTATTCCTGTTTCGTCTGTGGAATTGTCCGTACTGAGCAAAGATGAAGTAACGGGATCTGGAATTTGGCGGAGAGTTCTTTGTTGCACGTCAAGATCGCCACTGAATGATATCAGCCTCGTATTTGTTGGCGATGAATTATCACTCTTTTTCTGAGGGTGAGTTTGTTTTGCCCGATGTTATCTTCGTGACATCATTTTTTTTTATTTTTATTTTTTTTAAGCATTACGCCCCGAGCAAGGATACAGTGGGTTGCAGAAGATTTGGACCGAGAGCAGATAGGAGTGATAGAAGAAAGGATGAGGAGAAGGATAGTGGGTAGATCAAGGTAACTGGAGATTTCGATTGAGATTACATTTGAATAGTGGGAGATTAAAGTTATCAGGGAAACAGGAAAAGAGAATGGAGTTCCACAGGTGAGAGGTGCGAGGTGTGAAGCTATTGGAGTAGAAGAGACGGCGACATTTAAAAGTTTCTACAGTGTAAAGGTGGGAGCGGGATGCCAGCCTCGTAGGGCGCTTGAATTCATGGAGTCTGGGAACCAGTGAAAGCAGCTCATCGGAGCAATTACCATGAAAGTATTTGTAGAAAAGACAGAGAGAGGCGACGGCGCGTCTGGGAGAGAGTGACTGCAGACGAGACGTCAGATCAGGGCCAATTATATTACATATCCGTCTCAGGATCTTGTCAAGAACTCCGAGGTAAACAGAAGGTGCACCAGACCATATATGGCAGCAGTACTCCATGCAAGGGCGAATGGTTGATTTGTATATTTGAAGTATCGATTCCGGAGAGAAAAATTTCCTGGCGCGGCACAGAGAGCCAACTTTCCTCGCGGTGGAAGAAGCAATTGACTCAATGTATTTGTTCCATCTCAGGTCAGCAGCCAACGTGAGACCGAGCAGACGCAGGGAGTTGCTCTCAAAAAGTTGACTATCAGTCATTCTAATGGGAGGGGGGCAGGGAAGGATCTCTATGGTGATTAATAGAGAGTAGTTTAGTTTTTGAGATTTACATTTAATTTACATTTCCAAAACTTGTAAATTTAAGAAAGGCTCATAAACATCTGGAACAAAGTAAAATCTGGAATAATTAAAGAATTCTATATAAGAACATGGCGAATACCCGGCCTCCAAGACTTGGATCTGAAGAAGAAATATGCAACGAAAACATTTTAAAAACCTCTAATAACCTTTCTTCAGATGTTTATATATATATATATTTTCCAGCCGAAGCGTTTATTTCGCTTACCGGGGTAGATAGTTCTAGTTCCACGTGCCATGCCTCTTCCAGGTATGTCAGTTATTTAAGAGCAATAAGAATCTTCATTCCCCAATACTTACCTAAAGAAGAAACTTACATAAAAAAAAAAAAAACTTTCTAAAGTATGAACAGCTTTCATGAAATAATTTTTACAAAAAAAAATTTGTCCGGATTGAAATTTATACATTGTATCTGGAAAGTTCGAATTCTAGTCGAATCCATTACATTCACTTACGGGCTAATACCATTGGAAAAGGTATGAATCCTCTTCTTCTCCCCCGCTTCCAGCTATGAGTAAATAGCAGGACAGACCGGCTTCTATAGTCTTGGAAGGCAACTGGTTTATCGCAGAAAGAAATGGCAACGTACTGCGGTAAAAATCTGTCTCGTCAGTCAGGTATCGAAAGATACATGATCGCCTAAGCGTGTATTAGGCATGGCACATAATTGACTGAAATTCACTTACGTGCTAATACCATTGGGAAAGGTATGAATGCTTTTCTTCCCCAAACACCCCCAACTATGCATAAATAGCAGGATAGGCCGGTTTCTATAGCCTTGGATGGCAACTGGTCTACCGCAGAAAGAAATGGCAACCTACTGCGGGAAACAAATCTGCCTCGTCAGTCATGTATCGAAAGATAAGTGATTGCCGAAGCGTGTATCACGCATGGCACATAACTGATCTGGGCAGTGTTTTGACAGAGTGTAACACTTAGATCTGAAGACGTATTGGAATGGCCAAAGACACATTCCAAAAGCAAGGCAGAGTATTACAAGACAGGGGGATTTCGTTGGTAACAAAGGAAAGCGTACTGAACTGTTACGTAATATCTGTCCTCCTTTACGGCAGCGAATGTTGGACGGTCTCCTCAAAGATGAAGAAGAGACTCGAGGTATGGTTCTACAGAAGGATGCTGAGGATATCATGGACCGAGCGTGTGGGCAACGATGATAGGATGCAAACAAGGCGGAACCTTATACTTAACATCAGGAAAAGGCAGCTGAAATTTCTGGGATACGTAATGAGAAAGGAGGGCTTGGAGAATCCGGTACTCACAGGTCGAATAGATGGAAAGAGAGATAAGGGAAAGCAATGCATGACAAACCTGGCAGGCTTAAGCAAGTGGATGACAATGTGGTTTGGGGCAAGGTACGGAACTTGTTGAGAACTGCAAGAGATAGGGAGAAGTGGAGAGCCATGATCGCCTACATCCAGAAGGGACATGGCATATAAAAGAAAAAGACTACTGAAATCTAATTTTTTGCACATAATTTTATGCTTTCAGGATAAAGGTATGTTTTGTAGATCCTAAAATGTATTTTTGGTAGTCTCTATCTATAAAAGGCAGGATGTGTGTGTGTGTGTCTGTGTGTAACGAATGCACGGCCGCAATTTTTGACGGATTTGCACCAAAATTTACATGCACATGCTCCAAGACAGAGGATAGTAAGTGAGATCCGAAGACCTAATGCGATGGCCAAAGACGCATTCCAAAAGCTAGGCAGACTATTACAAGACAGGAGCATCTGTTTGGTAACAAAGAAAAGAGTATTGAACTGCTACTGGATATCTGTCCTCCTTTACGGCAGCGAATATTGAACGGTCTCCTCAAACAGGAAGAAGAGACTCGAGGCAACGGAGGTATGGTTCTACAGAAGGATGCTAAGGATATGATGGACCGAGCGTGCGAGCAACGATGAGGTTTTGTAGAGGATGCATTCAAGAAGGAAGCTTATGTTAGACATTTTCATGACGGTTGTCTTCGAGTATAGAATCCAGAGGTTGGCAGTGAATATTTCGGAGACAATAGGAAAGCGTAGTGCAGGTTCGCAGTGGATATCGCAGCAGAGTGTAGTTCTTCCTTCTGTCGTGTTCGCCTGACAAGTTGGCTCTGGTCCTTCCGGTAGGAAAACAAAGATGGCCGCCTTTATACACGACGGATACGATCTTCAGTGGCTCCTGATTGGTTAATCTTCTATTGGTAGACTATAAAGGGAAATAAGTCATTCTGACTCGCTCATTGTTACATAACATATACACAAAAAACTGTAACAGCTTATACTTAACATCGGGAAGAGGCAGCTGAAATTTCTGGGACACGTAATGAGAAAGGAGGGCTTGGAGAATCTGATACTCACAGGTCGAATAGAGGGAAATAGAGACAAGTGAAAGCAACATATGACATACCTGGCGGGCTTAAGCAAGTGGATGACAGAACGTGGTCTAGGGGAGGTGTCAGAGAGACGAAACTTATTGAGAGATAAAAGGGAAAGGGGAAAGTGGAGGGCCATCATCGCCTACGTCCTGAAAGGATATGTGTTGTGGTAGGATCCACCTAATTTGCATAGTGGAGTACCGACCATATAAATATGGTTGATACCGGGAAGAGAGGGAGGAATCAAGAGATTCAACCAGAGACTCTGCCCGACTGCGACTCAGTCAACACATTCTCCAGGAACGGTCTGACCAGGAATATACAACAGACTATATGTAAATATTGTGTACACTTTATTGTTTCAATACATTTTGTTCTAAGTACATTTTGTGTTGCATTATTATTCCATGCATTAGTCAAGTTTCAACAATATGGCACATAAAAAGAAAAATGTGTGAATGAAAATCCCACAATTAGGGCGGTCAAACATTTTGAAAGTTGGTGTTGGGCTTATGTGGTGGGTAGTTCTATTTAACCGGCCACGCCCACCAAGGCCATGCGTGACAGAATACCGTTTTTAAGCGAGGAGCACAATATGCATACTTATCCATATGTGCCAAGGAAAAAAAAAAATTCCCGATCTCGCGACGACTATCACGCTAGTGTCGGTATTACACCGACCCAACCTCTTTAGTGCCAGGAGGAAGGTGCTGGAATCCCCGGGGCTGAGCAACTTTTCCCATCTTAAATGAGGAGAAACATTGTTCCACATACAGCACAAGATGCGATAACTCCGCCCCAGTAAACCGTCATTGGCGATAGTTAACTGTTGTTTGTGTAATTTGGCACTGGTGAGTATATCGATATATTAAATGCGAATGTCAGTGTGTCACTGTGTCACACTTTTTCAATCAAAGGGACACAACTCTCCAACTTTCAATAGCACATAGATGTGAACAGAATGAGATAGATAGATAGATAGATAGATAGATAGATAGATAGATGAAGAGAATGAGATAGATAGATAGATAGATAGATAGATAGATAGATAGATAGATAGATAGATAGATAGATGAAGAGAATGAGATAGTGTTATGGGAACTTACCCATAATAATAATGGATTATTCATGACATTATAAATACTGTGCCTTTCAAGAGGTATGATGGAGATTGTAAGACGAGGAGAGATAATTGAGAGCATATTGTAAGGACATTGGAATAGTGATACTTGTCGAGACAACATAGTTCACTCTAACCAAATCTGATAGTCATTACTAATACTTCTACTTCTTTGTATTATATTTTTGTCGTAATATATCTTTGTGTCCCATACCTGTGTTCGTGTTATTCTTTCATTGTTTCTAACCTTGGACCATCACCGTGGTACAAGGAACTTGGACCATAACAGATAGATAGATAGATAGATAGATATGAATAGACTTAAATAAGGAATAAGGAGCGAAAATTATATGAGAAGTTATATATGTCACATATAGACGTCTGGGGTGTATATCGATATAATAAATGCGAATGTCAATGTGTCAGTGTGTCACACTTCTTCATTAGAAGGAACAGAACTCTCTAACTTTCAATAGCTCATCTTACAAAAATTTTGTATTCCCAAGTTTTCATTACTGCGATTATTTTCGGCGGTTTTTTACGTGATTTTTTGTGATGAATTTTTTGTACGATAACAATTTTTATAACTTGGAAATAATTGAAGTTAATTGCGAAATCCAGTGAATGTCGTCCATGAAATAAAAATAATTGTTTGTACGGAAAGTAAGGACCTACGTACATCAAATTCTCTTTAAATTAAGTTACGGCAGAAGAATTATTGTTGAACTTTTAAAAGGTAAGCTTAAATATTAATGCAATACTTAAATGCAGCGATTAATTTTAAGTTCTTCACTAGTTTATCGTTGCCTATTGCATACGACAGCAGTTTGCCTCGCAAATAGAAATCTCCGTCAAGAGAGGACTAGATTGCAATCAAAATGGCCAAGGTTGCAGCGAGGATAAAAAATTCCGGTGCAAATTAAAACCCAGATCAAACGGCAGCCAGAAGAGCTTCCAATGCTGAGAATATGCAAAGACTTAGGGATTCTCAAACTCTTGAACAAGCCGATGACTCAATCAAAAGGTCTTCGCTGCAGCTAACTTAAATGCCGCCCTATCAGTCGGCTTTTAAGCTAGTGTATAAGAAATGTAACCAAATCTCACGTAGAAAAATTAATCTAATATAGACGGAAGAAATATTTAACAGGCGTCTGTATTCAGCTATTTTTCAGCACATTTTTATCTTTTTTATTTTTTTAAAATCATTTCACCACAAGCAAGGCAACGAAGCGACTAAGATGCAAGTAGGTGGTTATTGAGTGTGAAAGAATATAAGCAAAACATTATAAAAGAGAAAAAAATAAAAGAATATGAATTAAGAACATAAGATAACGAATGGCATTGCATTTGCGTTAACATCTATGAAAGTAACTCTATACTGATACTTATTATTAACACCTAACACACGCCTATTTAAACAATTCGCCCTAGCTGTTACCATGGAAATTTTGATTTCAATTATTAAAACACGTAAATTTCAGAAATACGTTATTCCCAAAAAATTTCGCTTGAAGATGGAACAGAGCTTACTTTAACTCAATTTAATTCAAATAATTATATTGAAGTTTTCGGCTCTTGTTTTGAAACATGAGACCTCTTATGTCGCGAGTTGGAATCATATTTTTAAATAAATAATTATATATATATATATATATATATATATATATATATATATATATATATATATATATTGGTGATTATATGCAAAAGATTTAGGGACTTTCAAACTCCTAAACAATCCAAAGACTCAATCTAGAGTCCTCTGCTACAGCTAGCTTAAATGCCATCAAATAGGGCGCCTTTTATGCTAGTACATATATATATATATATATATATATATATATATATATATATATATATATATATATTACTGTGATTGTTTTCTGCTATTTGGTACAGTTCTTTGTGGTGATTCTGTAGCGCCAGTCGACGAGGGTATTATCGTTGAACCTTTAAAAGGTAAGCTTAAATATCAATGTAATACTTAAAGGCAGCAATCAATTTTGAGTTCTTCTGTAGTTTATTGTTGCCTATCGCTTACGGCGACAGTATGCCTCACAAAAAGAAATGTCCACCAACAGAGGACCAGATTGCGATCAAAAGATACAAGGTTGCAGTGAGGAAAACAAAGTCCCTTGCAAATGAAGACCCAAAATCAAACGGCTGCCAGGAGAAATTCCAATAGGTGAGAATATGCAAAGACTTAGGGACTCTCAAATTCACAAAAAGTTTCGTAGACGGACGGACCCGCCATATATTTCGCTTTCCTCTGCTTTAATATTTCGCAGACAGTTATCATGTCATACCTGTCGAAGCTGACATTTGAAAGAATTAACTTTCATGTCATTGAAAGATGGCGTCTTCATTCTCGAAAAAAAGGAATCGTTGTCAAGTTGCCTCGACAGCCGCCATTATGGGATTAAGATTTCGCGCCTGGCGGGAATTAGACCCGGAAAATAATGGATGGTTCCTTTCTTAATTCACTTTTGGGATTTCCTTCCAGATATGGTCCCCTAAAAATACGTGATAACGACACGGGTGGGAACGCTTATCTAAAGAATTTACGACGGAATGATGTTTCATTCCGTTATACATCCAAGTATATATTAATATTTTTCCGACTCTCTCTCTCTCTCTCTGTCTGTCTCTCTCTCTTTCTCTCTCTCTCTCTCTCTCTCTATCTATCTATCTATCTATATATATATATATATATATATATATATATATATATATATCTATGCGTGTTTCTGACATTTATACCATTCAAACTCAGATTACAGATAGATTGATAGATAGAAACAGAACGAGATTAAGCGATAGATAGATATGAACAGAATGAGATAGATAGATAGATAGATAGATAGATAGATAGATAGATAGATATGAACAGAGTGAGATAGATGTCCCGTATGAACATCTCAAAAGATTGATATGAACAGAACTATCTAGAGAGATAAAGATTTTATAAAATAGATACATACATACATACATACATACAGAATGAGATAGATCGATAGATAAATAGATATGAACATAATGAGATAGATAGATAGATAGATAGATAGATAGATAGATAGATAGTGAGCTAGGTTGATATATACAAACTGTAACATCGGTAAAGTCATAAACTGTGTAACTAAATAGATAGATAGAACGAGAAGGGAGAAACGCCTTTATTTTTCTTTTTAGTGAAATGCTTTAATAGATTTTTTTTTCAAATATATCCCTAGCAATTTATTCAAAACTTTTCAACACAACACCATCAGAAAGATTAATTTGAGTCCTCTATGGAGATATAACGCCCCAAGCTTCAATAAATGGATTACGTCAACAAAACCAACTGCCATTTGTGCATTCAGAAGCTAAGAGCCCCTAAAAGTTGCACTAGGGGCCTGAAATGATGCATTTAGAACAGGTTCAAGGCAATGTGGTTGGGCGGCCGCCAACACTTGTTGGGGTTTTTAGACTCTTGTTGTCGTTTACAATTTTCTTTGAACATGTCGAGGGAATTCGTAACGGTGACGGAAATGGTAGAATTTTTGGTTGGAATGTCTTTAAAAACCGATGAAAATAAATAGTAAAAAAAAAAAAAGAAAACCTCCAAATTTCTTTTAGATTTCTTTTAGAAATATGAAGGAATTTTCGTCGTAAGAATCGAAAACGTGACCTGAAATGAAAACATTTTAAAAAATATATTAGTTTTTTGGAGTTTTTTTTTTTACCGTAAGTTTCACCTTGTACATTATTACACTGAATTTGTAGGTCCGATGAATTGGATCGTGATTACGATTCCAATGTAATAAATTATAACCATGCAATATTAGTGTTTGAGCCTTTTATATATTCTTGCTCTGTCCTGGACATTGAGCTCTACCTGGATTCTATCCATTTGGAAATTTATATATATATATATATATATATATATATATATATATATATATATATACTTTTGTATCGAGCACTATTTTTTAAAATAATAACAAAACTACTAAAGAACTTCGGATTATTTACCTAACGAGTTCTTTCCTATTTTTTTTATTATATATATATATATATATATATATATATATATATATTGACGACTAATATTATTTTTCTATCTCTCTCTCTCTCTCTCTCTCTATATATATATATATATATATATATATATATATATATATATTAATGCATGTTTCATTAAATAATACAGACAACTTTTGTCTATTTTAAATAAGTTCCTTTCATATTGTCTGATAAGCTTAATAACATTATCATTGTAAGACGAAAGGAAATCACCATATTAATGCACATTTAAATCCAATCTAAGCTTTCGGCATACATAAGCCATTATCAAAGATGACAATGCAACAAAAACAGACTCTCATTATTTTCTCGTTTGTGTATTGTTTAATATATTGAAATGTAATTGTCATGTTTGATAATGGCTTATGTCAGCCGAGAGCTTAGATAGGATTAAAAAACATATATCAATATGGTGATATTCTTTCATCTTTCAATGATAATGTTATTAAACTTATCAGGCTAATATGAAAGAACTTTAAAAATAGACAAAACTATATATATTATTTAATGTAACATCATCAATAAAAATTGCTGCTTAAATATATATATATATATATATATATATATATATATATATATATATATATATATAAGGTTTTAAGTAAACATTTATGGGATAAAGTGCTCAATATCAGAGATAGAGCGTATGTAAATATAAAAGTGAACATTGAAGTCAACACGCAGAGGCAAGAGGCTTTGTTTCATGCTAGACGCAATCTAGGCGGCCTGACGATTGCGTCTAGCATGAATATTCACTATATATATATATATATATATATATATATATATATATATATATAAATTTTGGGAGATTTGAATAATTTCACATAATAATTCATCGAGTATAGTACAGGTGTATGATTATGTTTTAATTTATCACAGCTGTTTATATCTATGTAAGCCTGTTCATATCAATCTGTCTATTCTATCAGTTCATTTGTATCTGTCTATCTATCTGTTTATCTCACTTTGTCCATGTCGATATCAATTTGTTCATCTATCTGTCTATTTATCTGTCTCTGTTCAGATATATTGCAATATCTTCAAATCAATCTATCTTTCTGTCTCTTTCTGTCTATCTGTCCCAATCTTTTCACATAGATCTATCCATCTATCGATCTGTCAGAGTGTGTCCGCATCTATCTATCTATCTATCTATCTATCTATCTATCTATCTATCTATCTCCTCTCTCTCTCTCTCTCTCTCTCTCTCTATATATATATATATATATATATATATATATATATATATATATATATATAAATAAAATATATAGAAAATAGGAAGGAACTGGTTAGCTAAATAATCCAAAGTCCCTTAGTATTTTAGTTATTATTTTTTAAAAATAGTGCTCGATACAAAAGTAGAGCATAAATATAATTATTATAGGCGCCTACCCAATTTAAACAATTCGCCCTAGCTGTTACCATGGAAATTTTGATTTCAATTTTTAAAACAAGTAAATTTCATATATACGTTATTCCAAAAAAATTTCGCTTGAAGATGGAACAGAGCTTACTTTAACTCAATTTAATTTAAATAATTATATTGAAGTTTTTGACTCTTGTTTTGAAACATGAGACTTCTTATATCGCGTTTTGGAATCATATTTTTAAATAAATAATTATATATATATATATATATATATACATATATATATATATCAGTCTGTTCATAGATATATATATATATATATATATATATATATATATATATATATCTGTCTATTTCAATCTGTTCATATCTATCTGTATATATATATATATACACACATATATATATATATACATATATATATATATATATATATATATATATATATATATATATATATATATATCAGTCTGTTCATATCTATCTATTTCAGTCTCTTCACGCATATCTATTTATTTAAGTCTGTTCGTATCTATCTATCTATCTATCTGCTCATCTATGTATTTGTCTAAGCGTGTTCATATCTATCTTTCTACCTATCTATTTCTTTTCACTATCTATTTATCTGTCTATCTATCTATCTATCGAAGTCTGTTCATATCTATCTATCTATCTATCTATCTATCGAAGTTTGTTCATATCTATCTATCTATCTATCGAAGTTTTTTTCTACCTCGCAGTATCACTTAATTTTTAATTGCATTTTACGAACATTTTTTTATTTGTGTTTTTTTATAATTTTATTTCATAAAAATCACACATTTTCTGCGCAAATAGACGCCGCTTTCGCTTTAACCTGATTCTCCGTGTTTGTCTGTATCATGGCATAGATTTGCAATTCATGATAGCGGTCTGAAGTGTTCACATTGAAGAAAAATGAGAAAGAAACACAAAGAATTAAAACCCTTTACCCAATCCCAAACGAAAAAGCAATTTCAACTTTCAAGACCAAACGGTCACTCAATGGAATCATTTGCACTGTCTTTTCAAAGATCCCAATATGGTTTTATGTCTTTTTTTTTTCTTTTTTTTTTGTTTTTGTTTTTGGGCTTTTTACTTATTTATTTATAATACGGGACATTCAGTGGCTCGTGCGTTGGATCATTCACCGGTAAGATGTTTTCTTGTTTGTTGTTTTGCAGTCGAAATCACTTCCATTATCCGTTTCACGTTTAACACTGGAAAACATCTGTTGAAAAAGGGACGCCATTTTATTTTTCGCCTTCTTTTTTTTATTTCTTTCTTCGTATTTTTCTTCTTTCTTTTTTTCTTTCTTCTTCCTCTTCTTTTTGTTCATTAGCTTTATTTCATTCTTCTTTCACTTTATAAACTGTGGCTGAACTTTCATTTTTTTCTTCTTTTTTCAGTTCCATTAAACACGTTATCATTTTTTTCACCTCTTTTCTTTCTTTCTTTCTTTCTTTCTATTTTAATTCTTTTCATCTTATTCGTTTTTATTATTATTCCTTTGCTTCTTCTTTCTTTTTTATTTCATTCCTTTATTTTCCTTCTATCAATCTATTTTTATTCTCGTATTATTCATTTCTCTTTCATTTTCCATCTTTGATATTTTTTTATCATTTATTTCATTTTTTTATTTTCCCTTCTTCCTTCTTTCAATCTATTTTTATTCTCGTATTATTCATTTTTCTTTCATTTCCCATCTTTGATATTTCTTTCTCATTTATTTCATTCTTTTATTTTCCCTTCTTCCTTCTTTCAATCTATTTTTATTCTCGTATTATTCATTTCTCTTTCATTTTCCATCTTTGATTTTTTTTTTATCATTTATTTCATTTTTTTATTTTCCCTTCTTCCTTCTTTCAATCTATTTTTATTCTCGTATTATTCATTTTTCTTTCATTTCCCATCTTTGATATTTCTTTCTCATTTATTTCATTCTTTTATTTTCCCTTCTTCCTTCTTTCAATCTATTTTTATTCTCGTATTATTCATTTCTCTTTCATTTTCTTTCTTTGACACTTCTTTCTCGTTTATTTCATTCTTTTATTTTCCTTCATATTATTCATTTTTCTTTCTCTTCTATATTTTCTTTTTCTTTTTCTATTTTCTTTTTATCCCCTTAAACTGATTCTTTTCACATTACACATTAGTCCTTCTTTTTCTTTCTTTCCTTCTTCATTTTATTCATTACTTCATTCTTTGACTTGCCTTTTTCTTTCTTTCAATCTCCTTACGCTTTTTCGTTTATTCATTTTTTCTTTCTTGACATTTCATTTTTCTATTTTTCCTTTATTTCTATTACATTCGCTTAACACTTCTTCTTTTTTCTTGATCTTTCATTTTCTTCTCTCTTCCTTTTTCTTTCATCCTTTTTCTTTTTTCTCCATTTTTTCTTCTCGCTTACTTTTTCTTCTCTCTCCCTTTTTCTCTCCCTCTTTTTCTTTTTCTCCCTTTTTCTTCTCTCCTCCTTTTTGTCTTCACTCACCCTTTTTCTCCTTTAGTGCGCTTTTCTTTTTCCTATTTTGTTTTTTCTACTTCCTGTTGTCCTTCAATTTAGATAGATAGATAGATAGATAGATAGATAGATAGATAATGAACAGACTGAAATAGATAGATAGATAGATAGATAGATAGATAGATAGATAGATAGATAGATAGATAGATAGATAGATAGATAGATTTAACTTTTCCTGCCAATACCTCATAAACAAAGAATTATTATGTTTTGGTCGCGTGGAAACACGGAATAACATATCAGAGTCGCTACCTGGTTTCAATGAGAAAGTCATAGATAGATAGATAGATAGATAGGGTTAATGTCTCCTGCCAATACCTCATAAATGATGAATTATTCCGTTCTGGTCGCGTGAAAAGTCGGTGAAGACATATCAGAGACGCGAGTTGGCTACATTGAAAGAAAGAAAGAAAGAAAGAAAGAAAGAAAGAAAGAAAGATGGGAAAGAAAGTGTTTAAATGTCTGTTTCAGTGAAATGGGAAAAGTTTTCAATTTCATATATTTTCATTTGTACCCCCTTACTTCTTAACATAACGACCATTATTCAGTTTTTATGATCGTTAATACAATATTTACTTAAAGTTGTTAAGCCGTAATATTTAACGATAATGTTGCCAAAGTTCACATTAGCATCTGTCTTTTTTTTTCTTTTTCTTATTCATTTTTCCTTTAAAGGAATCCAAAAAATTATAATAAAGAGGGATTTTTTTTTTACATTATTGTCGTCAACTTTGTTTTTATTATCAAGTGCTTGTCGATCTTCAGGAAATTTCGGAGTAAACACTTTATTTAATCTACGAGAGTAGGCTGTTCTCATCCCGTTGACCATGCCTAGAAATATCTGCTTAGTCCGTTTCCACCGAATTCGTACACATTGTCTGGCCCAGGGACTGAACTCATGATTACTGTCACCAAATTCAAGAACCAAAGCTTTCATCCACTAGGCCAATGGGACAATCCTGAGTGGGAAATAAGATCGGAGGGAAGACTGAGCGAGACGTTGGCATATTGAAGAAAATAGTCTGCATGTCATCCCAGAAATTCAAACAAAAAAAAAAAGTTTTTTTTTACACTATATACATTGTCCTCGTCTTTATTGTGGTTATCACAACGTTTCGGCCGTTGTGTTCTCCGAACTTCCTCATATCTATCCAATTAAGCTACAGCGAATTCTGAACTGAACTCTTTATTTAATCTACGGAGGTAGACTGTTCGCGTTTCATGTTATGGTGAAACACACCTATTTTATAGTTAATAGACTCTCCCACCTAATATAAGTAGGAGTAGTAAGAGAAACGACGGTCAGTCGATGTCGGACGACCGGCTGAACGGTTGAACTCTCTGCCTTCGGGCGGGGAGGAACCCGAAGGAGGCTACGCTGAGGGACGGAATCTCGTTCGGGGAGGTAAACCGACCCTGGACCCGTTTATACGGGTTCAAAGGGTATATTTTTGGGCCAAGCCCACGGGCTCGGAGATCCCACGTTGAACCGGCCTGGTGCTACATGATGCCCTCGGGGGGGGGTGACTAAATACTAGTCGATGTCAGACGACAGTCGAACTCTCTGCCTTCGCACAGAGAGGAACTCGGATGAAGCTATGCCGAAGGGCAGAATTTCGTCCGGGGAGGTAGACAGACCTGATCATGTTTATGCGTGGTCTACGAGGATTTTTTTGGCCGAGCCTTGTGCCACATGTGACTGCGTGGGGCAGTTACTAAATAGCGTCGATGTCGGACGACAGTAGTCGACAGTTAGTCGAATACGAAAGTAGTCAGCGACCACAACAAGATTACTCTGCGTAATACCTATTATATCAAGTCCTTAACGTTTTGTACGTCGAACCTATTTTAGGACCGATTTAGTACAAATACAAGCCTCCACTGCGAATTAACCCCACAACATTTCAGTAATATGTCGCGCCGGTTTCGACTGAATCCAAGTAAACACCACCCGGTCCAGTACTTAAACTCAGTGAAAACAGGGGGAGCAATAACTGAGATGTACTAAAAATAATTATTAGATGAGATATTCCCTAGAAATAAGAAATGGAATGAAAACAGTCTACCTCCTTAGATTAAATAAAGGGTTCAGTTCTTCACTCCTTGTAGGATATGCACTTGATGAAGGCCGAATGCGATGGATAAATTGTCGTCTAAATGACGAAAAAAAAAAAAAAAATTAACGTAACAATGGCATCTCACGTTAACTGATATACAGGGTGCGATTGAAAAATTGTCGTCTAAATGATGCAAAACAAAATAATGCTGACATCTCATTTTAACAGACATAAAGGGTGCGAGGGATAAATTGTCGTCTAAACGATGCCAAAATGAAAGTAACACTGACCTCTCATTTTAACAGATATACAGGATGCGATGGATAAATTGTAGTCTAAATGATGCCAAAATGAAAATAACACTGACATCTCATTTCAACAGATTTGTTTTTTTGTTTTGTTTGGTTTTTTTTTGGTTTTTTTTGTCATTAAAGAATAAACTGATATAGACGCTTTTAATTAAAGGACTGACATTAGGGTTATGACTTTTTGGTAACCCAATCTTCCTGTATCATAAATCGATGAATTTTTGTTCAAAATTAATGAAAAAAAAAGCTTAATTTGTTTTAGTTCTTGAAAAAGGTCAACCCCAAACCGATAAATCGATTATACCACATACGCGAAAAAATGTAAAGGTAAAAAAAAATTAACATATTTCAGAATTTTTTCAATTTACTAATGATGGGATTGGATTGTACTTATGAATGTTTTAAAGCATTTAACAGTTTATAAAAGGCCTCAGAAAGTTTTAAAATGACCCCAGAAAGTTTTAAAAGGCATCGGAAAGTTTTAAAAGGCCCCAGAAAGTTTTAAAAGGCCTCAGAAAGTTTTATAAGGCCCCAGAAAGTTTTAAAAGACCCCAGAAAGTTTTTAAATACCTTAGAAAGTTTTAAAAGGCCCCAGAAACTTTTAAAAGGCCCCAGAAAGTGATAGTACTACTCTACTTATATACGACTTTGGAAATTTCGTGTTGCTGGTAACATTTTTTAAATGATAAGCTGATACAGAAAATCAATTCTTTACAAATATCAAAACGTTATAATACTAATATACATTTATTAAATAAGTCATTGATTGTCAGGTGGAACTGTCTTTTTAAAAATATCTTTTTACAAAATTGATTTCTTTTAATTAAGGAACACAATTATAAAACTATGCTGATACCACTGAAGTCTCAAAATTACCATTTGTAAAGAAACGACTAAGTCCGATAACTCTTTAAAAAAGTTAGGGGTCTATCTTACACATTATCAAACAGCCCCCCCATTTTAAATCGATAAAATCCATATATTTCGATTCTTACAAATGTGGCGACTTGAAGAGCGTCTAATCTACAAAAGTTATTTCCGAAAAATTATTTCCCTGTTGTTTAAATAGTCCCCTAAATAAAGCTATATAAAGAATGAAGAGGGAGACAGAGAAAGGCCCGAATTAGGGACTATAAATAGTTGCCTACCTCTCAATTCAGTTCACTTACTAAATTCAATTATTCCTTCAAGTTTGAAACGTCATAATTCGGGTCTATATTTTGCTATGCCATTCATAATTGAAACTAGCAGTAGAGCCCGGCGTTGCCCGGGGATGTAACAGTCAGAGATAGATCAAGTATCGACCATCATAAAGACTGAAAAACAAAATTGACAAAGATTATTGTTTAAGGTTGACGGACACGCATATCTTAATTATTATTTTTTTTTTTTTACGAATTGGTCAAACTCAAACTCAAACAAAAACATTGTTTTCAATCGTTATGAGTCTACTGCTGGAATAGAATGTTATTATAAACAATTGTCTTGTACATGGAATTTTTAAAGCATTCTGAATGTAAAAATAAAGAAGAAAGTGTGCAAGACAATAAGAAACACTACCTGCCAAAAAGAAGTGAAGTTTTGTTGAAATCGGTTGAAAAATGTAGGAAATCCGATCCCATATATAAACGAACACAGACACACACTCACAAACAACCTGGGTTTTATAATAAGTATAACTCGATATGAGTTGTCCCCCTTTCATTCTGTTTTATCGTTGTTTTCAAATTGATTTCATGCAAAAACAATTGTGTTTTTTCCAATTTTTGGCGCTGTCAGAACCACTGCAAGGTAATTTTACGCAGTCCTGTGAAGTTTTGTTGAAATCGATTGAAAAACGTAGGAAATCCGATCCAATATATAAACGTACAGACACACACACACACACACACAATCTGCGTTTTATAATAAGTAAGATTATCAAAACGCAAATGCGCGTCGACAAAGTGATAGACGAATGAATCTATTGGAAATGCGAAAAACATTTTTGTAATGGCAGACAAATAACGTCAGAAAGTCGAAAGCATTTGCAAAAGTAAAGAGCATTGCCATCAGCCTAACAGTTTGCATTGACGCTAGGAAAGTTATCGGGAAAATTAAAGACAAATCTCAATACACTGAAGAAATACTTTTGTTTATATGTCAGGGCACAAATGATATTCTAGTCGACATTTTTGAAAAGCTGCCTAAAAAGGAAACACTTGCGAGGACAATAAGAGTTTTTAAACAACTTATTTACGTCTCTATATTTCTGAGATGAGGTATTATGTACACTATTTACATTATTCGGACTATTGTCCTCATCTTTGTTGCCATATTTATTACAACGTTTCGGCCTTTCAGTATATGTCTATATTTCTGAGATGAGGTATTATGTACACTATTTACATTATTCGGACTATTGTCCTCATCTTTGTTGCCATATTTATTACAACGTTTCGGCCTTTCAGTATCTGTCTATATTTCTGAGATGAGGTATTATGTACACTATTTACATTATTCGGACTATTGTCCTCATCTTTGTTGCCATATTTATTACAACGTTTCGGCCCTTCAGTATCTATCTATATTTCTGAGATGAGGTATTATGTACACTATTTACATTATTTGGACTATTGTCCTCATCTTTGTCGTCATATTTATTACAAAGTTTCGGCCCTTCAGTATCTGTCTATATTTCTGAGATGAGGTATTATGTACACTATTTACATTATTCGGACAATTGTCCTCATCTTTGTCGCCATATTTATTACAACGTTTCGGCCTTTCAGTATCTGTCTATATTTCTGAGATGAGGTATTATGTACACTATTTACATTATTCGGACTATTGTCCTCATCTTTGTCGTCATATTTATTACAACGTTTCGGCCTTTCAGTATCTGTCTATATTTCTGAGATGAGGTATTATGTATACTATTTACATTATTCAGACTATTGTCCTCATCTTTGTCGCCATATTTATCACAATCTTTTGGCCCTTCAGTATCTGTCTATATTTCTGAGATGAGGTATTATGTACACTATTTACATTATTCGGACTATTGTCTTCATCTTTGCCGCCATATTTATTACAACGTTTCGGCCCTTCAGTATCTGTCTGAGATGAGGTATTATATACACTATTTACATTAATCGTACTATCGTCCACATATCAGTTGCCATATTTATCACAACGTTTCAGCTGTTGTACGCTCCGGCCTTCTTCAGGTGGTTGGGATGTCGAACTGAACCCTTTATTTCGCTCACTGGGGTAGACTGTTCTAGTTCCACGTGCCATGTTTAATGGATGTCAGTTATCAGTTATCTCCTGTTAATTCCTCTCTCCAAGTTCTCCACTGCCTTAACCAAGTATTGAACTCACACTCTCTAGGTCCTGTCACTGGATCTAACCAAGGCCTTTATCCACTGTGCCATATGTCCTTAAGAACATCTGTGTATGAATTATTATTACCAGCAGGATACTTGCATGATAAAATGCATTTCTGGCCTTTTGTTATTTAATCACTTTGACATTATGTTCGCCATTTTGTCCATTCGCTATTTTGTCCATTCGCCATTTTGTCTGCGCGCGAGCCATGCAAGCAAGTATAACATCTATAGTGCCGTTCGATCGAGAACGTGTAGGGAGGCCAGAGCAATCTGGCTGCGTATGTGATGGGGGAGAGGTCATTTTTTAATGAAAGTATCAATGATGAAAAATATAACTTGCTAAGTATTTCATGGAAGTTAAGCAGTCAGGTTATCTTGTTGGGGTGGGCGAATGTTTAAACGGGAATATAATTCTTTTTTTTTTTTTCTTTTTTCAAAACTGACCCCACCCACTGACAAATCACTCGACGGACACCCTGAGATTGAGAGCACTGACAGTATTAAATTTCGACGTTCTGTTTATACCCAAACGAATTGCGTCCGAACAAAAATGTTATGATTTCTCTGATAGTTACACTCTGCACTGGAGCGAGTTGGGGCGGGGGGCAGTGACTCCACCGTCATCACAAAAAGAACTTTTTTTTTCTACGCGGATTTTTTGTTTTATGCTTAGCCAGAGTGATTTTATTTCTTGCCTGCCTTGCTTCCTTCGTTTCTTCCTTCTTATTACATCCGTGTCCCGTCCTTTAAGTTTTCTGTCCTAAGACCTTCTTTTTTTGGATTTATCTCAATTCTGCCTCCCTTCTTATTAGGTAGTGTTCCTTCCTTCCTTCCTTCCTTCCTTCCTTCCTTCTTTTAAGCTGTCTGTCCTAAGACCTTCCTTTTTGTATTGGATTAATTTCCCTTCTGCCTTCCTTCCTATTAGGTAGTGTCCCGTCCTTCCTTCCTTACTTACTTACTTACTTCATTTCTTCCTTCCTTCATTCCTTCCTTCCTTCATTCCTTCCTTCCTTCCTTTAAACTGTGTGTCCTAAGTCTTTCTAATTTTATTGCATTTGTCTCCCTTCTGCCTTCCTGCCTATTAGTTAGTGTCCCTTCCTTCCTTCGATCATTTCTTCTTTCCTTCCTTCCTTTAAGCTGTGTGTCCTAAGTCCTTCCTTTTTTTGTTTGATTTATCTCCGTTCTGCCTTCCTTCCTATTAGGTAGTGTCCATTCCTTCCTTCCTTCCTTCCTTCCTTCCTTCCTTCCTTCCTTCCTTTAGGCTGTCTGTCCTAAGACCTTCCTTTTTGTATTGGTCTAATTTTCCTTCTGCCTTCCTTCCTATTAGCTAGTGCCCCTTCCTTCATTTTTTCTTTCAAGCTGTCTGTCCTAAAACCTTCCTTTTTATTAGATTTATCTCCCTTGTTTTCCTTCCGTCCCTCGTTTGTTCCTTCCTATTGGGTTTGTGTTAATTCCTTTCTTCCTTCAAACTGTCTATCCTACCAATGTCCTTTCTTATTGGTTTTATCTTCTTTCTCCCGTCCTTCCTTCATATCTTCTTTCCATGTACCTCCCTCGTTTCTCCTTTTTCTCCTACCATTTTCCTTTTTTATTGGATTTATTTCCCGTCTGCTTTCCTTTCTTCTATTAGATCCGTATCCATCCCTCATTCAAACTTTCAGTCATAAAACCTTCCTTTTTTGTTTGATTTATCTCCGTTCTGCCTTCCTTCCTTCCTTCCTTCCTTCCTTCCTTCCTATTAAATCTGTCTCCCTTCCTTCAAGGTTTCTGTTCTACCACCTTCCTCTTTTATTGGATTTAGCTCCATTCTCCCTTCCTTTATATTAGAGCCTTCATCCTTTCCTTCCTTCCTTCCTTCCTTCCTTCCTTCAAACTTTCTGTCATACCACCCTCCTTTTTTATTGAACTTATCTCCGTTCTCCGTTCTCCTTTCCTTCCTTTTTTTCTTCCTTCCTTCCTTCCTTCCTTCCTTCCTTTCTTTCTTTCTTTCTTTCTTTCTTTCTTTCTTATTAGATCAGTGTTCCTTCCTACAAGCATTCTGTTCCATCACCACCTTTTTTATTGGATTTATCTTTCTTCTAGTTTCCTTCATTCATTTATTCCTTTCTATTACATCCGTGTCCCTTCCTTTCCTTCCGTCCTTCAAGCTTTCTGACCAATCACCTTCCTTTTTACTGGATTTATGTCTCTTCTATCTTCCTATCTTACTCCCTATTATCAGGTCATCTAATAAGTTCTGTCCGAATTTTGCATAAAGAAAACAAGTGACCAAATGTTACATTTAATTACAGATTCAATCAACAATGTATTTTCCATGATTATCTATGACTTCCTTCCATCTATTAACAAACTTACTAATTCCATTACTGTAAAATTCTTTTGGTTTTGAATCGAAGAACTCACAAATGTCAGTTTTAACCTCTTCCTGTGTTACAAAAGCTGTTTCTTCCAAATGATTCTGTAAGCTACGAAACAAATAATAGTCTGAAGGAGCAAGATCGGGAGAATAAGGTGGATGAGGAATTTTCTCCCAACCAAGTTCTTCGATCTTTTGTGACGTGATTCTTGCTGTATGGGGTCGTGCATTGTCCTGATGAAACATCACCTCCTTTCGATTCACTAGAGCAGGTCTTTTTTCCTCAAAGCTTGGTTCAAACACTCTAATTGCTGACAGTATATTTGAGCATTAATTGTTGCATTAGGTGGTAAGAATTCAAAGTGGATTATTCCTTGGCGATCCCACCAGATTGAAAGAAGAACCTTTTGCTCATGAAGTTCCCTTCTCGGCTGTGGCTGGGGTCCTTCCCCTTTACCAAGCCACTGTCTCCAACAATTAACATTTCGATAAAAGATCCATTTTTCGTTGTCAGTCACAAGTCTATCCAAAAAAGGTGAAACAAGTTGGCAAGAATGGAGAGAAGAGCAGATATCAACTGGGGTTTGAGGTTGTTTTCAGACAATTCATGAGGCACCCATTTTCCAAGTTTAGGAACTTTTCCAAGTTGTTGAAGATGACAATGAACAGTTGTATGGTTTGAACTGAGAACCACTGCCAATTCCTCAACTGATAAAGCAGGATTTTCTTCAAGGGCTGCTTCAAGAAGCTTTTCATCAAACTCAACTGGACGTCCGGTTCGATCTTCATCTTCGAGGGTGAAATCTCCACCTCTAAATTTTGCAAACCATCTTCTGAAAGTTCTTTCATTCACACATTCCTCTCTATAAACTGAGTGAATGTTTCTAACCGCTTCGGCTGCTGAGTTTCCTTTCTTGAACTCATAAAGCATTACGTGCCCAAAATGATTCTTGGGTACTTCCATGTTAGAAGGGTTTTAATCAAACAAAATTTAATTTTATTGTTTTCTGAAATAAAATTTGATCAGTTTAAATGCATCTAAATATAAAAATAATGTTCAGCTCCATTAGACATTATAAAATACTCTTTAAATTTTGTTCAAAATTCGGAGAGAACTTATGGGATGACCTGATCGATCCTTGCCCTTTCCTTCCTTCCGTTTGGTTTTGTCTTCTGCCACCTTCCTTTTTTTATTGGATTCAACTCCCTCCTCCTGTTTTCTTTCCTGTCTTTATTTTTTCCTTCCTTTTGATTTGTGGTACTAACATTCTTTCATTCCTACGTCTCTTCCTTCGTGACTGCCATCCTTCGTCTTTCCTTCGCCCAATCCTTCCTTCCTTCCTTCTTTCTTTCTTTCTTTCTCAATTTCCTTTTTTCTGACCTCGTCTTCCTTCTTGCTTTTTTCTCTCTTTCTTTTTTCTTTCTTTCCTTTTCAACTTCTTTCTTTCATTCTCGCCTGCTTTTTCTTTCTCACTTTTTCTTTCATTCTCGACTTCTTACTTTTCTTCTCGTCCCCATTCTCTCTTTCCTTCTTTCTTAAAACCTTGAGTAACTTCTTCCTTTCCTTTCCTTCTTCACTTTCTTCCTTTAATCGAATTCGTCTCCATTCTATTGGTCTTTTCCCAATTTTCATTCATTCATTCATTCTTTCTTTCTTTCTTTTTGTCTGTTTGCCTGTCTTTCTCAAATTCATTCTTTCCTTCCCTCTTACTTTCCTTTTCACTTTCCTTCTCGTCTTTCTTTCTTTCTTTTTTTTTTTTTCTTTCTTTCTTTCTTTTCCCCTTCTTTCTTTTAATCTGATACGTTCGCACTCCCTTCTTTTTTGTTCGTTTTCACCTTCTTTTTTTCTTTTTGTCTGTTTTTCTTCCACGTCATTCTTCTTTCTTTCCTTCCAACTTTCCATTTTTTCTTTCCTTCCCAATTTCCTTCAGTCTTTTCTTTCCTTCCTTCATTCCTTCCTTCCTTCTTTTAATCTCACGTTTCCATTCTCTTCTTGTTTTGATTCATTTTCACCTTTTTTCTTTCTTTTTCTCTCTCTTCTTTGACATCTTTCTTTCCTTCCTTCTCACTTTCCTTCTTTCTTTACGTCTCACCTTCTTTCTTTCTTTCTTGTTTCCTTCCTTTAATCGAATACGTCTCTATTCTCTTCTTGTTTTCTTTCAGTTTCACCTTCGTTTTTATTTCTTTCTTTTTACCTTTTTTCTGTCTGTTTTCCTCACCATCCTTGTTTCTTTCTTTATTTATTTCCTTCTCAGCTTCTCACTTTACATCTTGAGTACCTCCTTCCTTCCTTCAATCGGATACGTCTCCATTCTATTCATCTTTTTATTTTTCCTGTCTTACCTTCTTTGTCTTTCTCGACGTCCTTCGTTCTTTCTTTCCCACTTTCTTTTTTTTCTTTCTTTCTCACCTTCCTTCTTTCTTTACATCTAGAGTGCCTATTTCCTTGGCTTTCCTTCCTCTATTTCCTTCTTCTTTCTTTCTTTCTTTCTTTCTTTCTTTCTCCCTTCCTCTAATGAGAAAAGTCGCCATTTTATGCATTTTGCTTTTTCCTCTCATTGTCTGCTTGCTTTACTTACTGTAAAATGGCCTTCCTGAATTTTTATTCATTCCTTTCTCATTGTCTTCCTTTTGCCAACCTTTCTCTCCCCCATTCAATTTAATTTCTTTTTTATTTATTCATGTATTTATTGACGTTTCGAATTTTCATCAGAAAGCAGAATTGTTTATTTATTTATTTATTCTTTCTTTCCAAACTTTTTCATTTATCATCAAGACCAGAAATTAGTTAATTAATTCATTAATTCTTTAATTCTTTCTTTTTTTTCTACGCAATACGAATTTCCTCCGAAAAAAAAAAGCAGATTTTTAATTTTTCTTTTTTTTTTTACGTATTTATTGAAGATTCGAATTCGCATTAGAAATAAAAAAAAATAATTAAGTCTGTTTTTCTTTTTTTTCTTCCAGGAATTCGAATTTTCATAAGAAAATATAATTCCTTCCTTTTTTATTCATTTATTTTCGAATTTCATCAAAAACTAGAAATTACATTTTTTTTTTTGTTTTTTCTGAATTTTTATTTATTCCTTTTTCATTGTCTTCCTTTTGCCAACCTCTCTCTATTCGTTTTTCTATTTCTTATCGGATTTGTTTTTCTTCCTTCCTTTCATCCTTTCTTCCTTTCTGAAGTCTTTCGTTTTCGGTTACTCATCTTGTTGACGGCGTCTTTTCTTGTCTGATCGCCTTCATTTTTTCGTTTCTTTCCTTCCTTCATTCTCAGTGTCTCCTCCATTTTTTTTTTTTTTTACTAGATTCTTTCATTCTCTCTTTCTTTCACTCCTTCTTTTTTACCAGGTGTTTCGATTTCACATTAGAAAACAGAATTTAAATAATTCTTTCTTTCTGTTTTTCTTTCTTCTCGTCTTTATTTGATTATTTCTTTACTTCCTTCATTCATTCCTTCTTTTTTTCCTTCCTTCCTGACTTTCTTTCTACCTTCTTACCTTCCTTCCTGGCTGCTTTCCTTCCTTCTTTCTTTCCTTCCTCCTTTCCTTCGTTCCTTCCTGTCTTCCTTCCTGTCTTCCTTCCTTTCTTCTTATTTTCTTTCCTTCCTTCTTTCCTGACTTTCTTCCTTCCCTCTTTCTTTCCTTCCTTCTTTCTTTCATTCCTTCCTTCCTTCCTTCTTTCTTTCTTTTTCTTTCTTTCTTTCCTTCTTTCTTTCTTTCATTCCTTTCTACCTTCCTTCTCCTTCTTTCTTTCTTCCTTCTTACCTTCCTGCCTGACTGCTTTCCTTCCTTCTTTCTTTTCTTCCTCCTTTTCTTCGTTCCTTCATCTTTTCCTTCCTTTCTTTGTTCTTGCCTTCTTTCCTTCCTTCCTGACTTTCTTACTTCATTCCTTCCTTCTTTCTTTCCTTCCTTCTTGACTTCCTTCTTTCTTTCTTTATTTCTTTTTCTTTCTATCTTTCCTTCTTTCCTTCCTTCTTTCTTACTTTTTCTTTCTTTCTTTTTTCTTTCTTTTCTTCTTTCCTTCTTTCCTTCCTTCTTTCTTTCTTTTTCTTTCTTTCTTTCTCTTTTCTTTCTTTCATTCTTTCCTTCCGTCTTTCTTCCATTTTCTTTCTTTCCTTCTTTCCTTCCTTCTTTTTTCTTTTTCTTTCTTTCTTTCTTTTTTCTTTCTTTCTTTCTTTCATTCCTTTCTACCTCCCTTCTCCTTCTTTCTTTCTTCCTTCTTACCTTCCTGCCTGACTGCTTTCCTTCCTTCTTTCTTTTCTTCCTCCTTTTCTTCGTTCTTTCCTCTTTTCCTTTCTTTCTTTGTTCTTGCCTTCTTTCCTTCCTTCCTGACTTTCTTACTTCATTCCTTCCTTCTTTCTTTCCTTCCTTCTTGACTTCCTTCTTTCTTTCTTTATTTCTTTTTCTTTCTATCTTTCCTTCTTTCCTTCCTTCTTTCTTACTTTTTCTTTCTTACTTTCTTTCCTTCTTTCCTTCCTTCTTTCTTTCTTTTTCTTTCTTTCTTTCTTTTTTTTCTTTCTTTCCTCTTTTCCTTCCTTCTTTCTTCCTTTTTCTTTCTTTCCTTCCTTCTTTTTTTCTTTTTCTTTCTTTCTTTCTTTCCTTCTTTCCTTCCTTCTTTCTTTCTTTCTTTTTCTTTCTTTCTTTCATCCCTTTCCTCCTTCCTGGCTTCCTTTCTTCCCTCTTACCTTCCTGCCTGACTGCTTTTGTTCCTTCTTTCTTTTCTTCCTCCTCTTCTTCGTTCCTTCCTGTTTTCCTTCCTTTCCTTCTTCTTGCCTTCTTTCCTTCCTTCCTTCCTTCCTTCCTTCCTTCTTTCTTTCATTCATTCCTTCTTTCTTTCTTTTTCTTTCTTTCTTTCATTCTTTCTTTCTTTCTTTCTTTCTTTCTTTCTTTCTTGACTTCCTTCCTTCTTGACTTCCTGACTTCCTTTCTTCTTTCTTTCTTTCTTTCTTTCTTTCTTTACTTCCTTCCTTCTTCCTTTCTTTCTTTCTTTCTTTCTTTCTTTCCTTCCATCCTTCTTTACTTCCTTCCTTCCTGACTTCCTTCCTTCTTTCTTTCTTTCTTTCTTTCTTTCTTTCTTTCTTTCCTTCCTTCCTTCTTGACTTCCTGACTTCCTTCTTTCTTTCTTTCTTTCTTTCTTTCTTTCTTTCTTTTTTTCCGTTTTTCTTCCTGGTATTACGAATTTTCTCCAAAAGCCAAAATTTAATTTCTTTTTATTTATTCATTTATTTATTGACGTTTCGAATTTTCATCAGAAAGCAGAATTGTTTATTTATTTATTTATTCTTTCATTCTAAACTTTTTCATTTATCATCAAGACCAGAAATTAGTTAATTAATTCATTAATTCTTTAATTCTTTCTTTTTTTTTCTACGCAATACGAATTTCTCCCGAAAAAAAAAGCAGATTTTTAATGTTTCTTTCTTTTTTTACGTATTTATTGAAGATTCGAATTCGCATTAGAAATAAAAAAAAATAATTAAGTCTGTTTTTCTTTTTTTTTCTTCCAGGAATTCGAATTTTCATAAGAAAATATAATTCCTTCCTTTTTTATTCATTTATTTTCGAATTTCATCAAAAACTAGAAATTCCATTTTTTTTTTTCTCTCTCTTTCTTTCTTTTTCGTTCTTTCTTTCTCTCTTTCTCTCTCTTTCTCTCTCTTTCTTCCTTTTTCGTTCTTTCTTTCTCTCACTCTCTCTCTCTCTCTCTCTCTCTCTTACTCTTTTTCTTTCTTTTTCTTTCCAAGCCTTTCGAATTCTCATCAGAAACCAGAAATCGTTCATATATGTTATGAATTCTCGTCTAATTAGAAATCTCGTTTCCCCGAGACAACGGCCGAGATTCCTCTTTGCCCTTCCCATACCTACATAGTTGCCCTGCTAACAGCTTTACACGTGTTCATGTTTGATGTTTGCTTTCGTTATTCGAATAGCTCTCTTCATAAAAACACGTACATTTATTGCCACCCAAAGAGAATGCATCAACCTTACCCTTCTTTAAAAGTAGTTTTCGGCCTGTTTCTCTTTCTCATGCTTTGGGGACTGTTAAGTCTGTCTTGATATCTGTCTTTATATGCCGTTTCTCCTCAAGGCGTAGACAATCATGGCTCTCCACAGTTTTCTAAGTAAGTTGTCTTTTTTGATATTTCTAAACCCTGTTCAGTCCTCCATTTTCTCAAATTTGTCATGTTTTATACGCAATTTTCCTCTTTTCATTATTCTCCTCAATCTGTCCTGTCAGATTTTCCAAGGCCCCACTCTAAAGTGGCCCAGAAATTTCAACTGTCTCTTCCTGATTTTTCTGATGAATTTACCGAGTCCTTTCAGAACATGGGCGATCACGGCTCTCCATTATTTCCGATCCTTTAAGTATTCTTTTCTTGGTGTTTAATGAAATTTTCCTGTTTCTTAATACTTTGCTTAGCTTTCAGAAGGCAATTTTCACAATCACAATGCAGCTCCAGATGTTGGTGTCATATATTCCATCATCTGGGCAAGTATTCCAAAAAAAAATTTGCCATATTTATAAACTTTTAAAAGCCAAATGATTTAAATCTCTACTCTAGAATAAATCAGTCCTTCATCAATTTATAAAGAAAAGTTCTGAATGATATTTAATGGCTATAAACAATTCTAGAAATATCACTTCAGTCCATGATCCCATCTCCAAAGTTATTCAAATATAACAAATAAGCATTCTTCTTCTTCTATGGGCGCAGTCCTTTCAGGACATTGGTGATCATGGCTCTCCACAATTTCCTGTCACTTGTAGCTCTTAGTAATTTTTTTGCGATCTCTCCTAATCCCTGTTCTGCCAATCATTTACACAAACTTGTTAGGTAGGTTATGTGCTGTTTTCACTGTCCCTCTTGTCTTCAATATGTCTTGTGAGTATCAAATTTTATAAGCCCTCTTTCCTCATTATGTGACCTCAGTTATCTCTTCCTGATGTTAAATGTAAATACCTCTTTGTTTTTATTTGCCCTAGAACTTCATCATATTTTTGCTTTGTTATCCATTCACTCAATCTGTGCGTATCAACTTTTCTAAACCTTCTTTCCTCATGTGCTCTAGAATTTTAAACTGTCTCTTCCTGATGTTTTTGTTTCCATTAACTCTAGAACTTCCTTGTTGCTCATATGTTCAGTCCATGGTATTCTCAGTATCCTTCTGTTGCTCCAAGTCTCTTCTTCGTCTGTGAAACGATTGTCCAGCATTCACTGCCATATAAGAGAACTGATATTACATAACAGTCAAATGTTCTTTTCTTGGTTTTGAATGGAATTTTCCTGTTGCTTAATACTTTGCTTAGCTTTCACAATCAAAATGCAGCTCGAAAGTTATTCAAATATAACAAATAAACATTCTTCTTCTATGTGCATGTCTACCCAGGACATTGGGGATCATAGCTCTCCACATTTTCCTGTCACTTGTAGCTCTTAGTAATTTTTTTCTTTTTTTTTTTTGCGATTTCTCCTAATTCTTTCTGCCAAACATTTACACAAGCTCGTTGGGTTGCTTATACGCTCCCCCACCCCTCAGTATGTTCTGCTAGTGTTAAATTTTCTAAGCCACCTCTCCTCATTATATACTCCGGAAATTGTTATATTCTTATATTAACTTAAGTATAAATGTCCTTTTTGTTTCCGTTTTCTTCGTTGTTGCTCACATGTTGCGTCCATGGCATCCTCAGTATCATTCTGTAGTGCAATATTTTTATTGCTTCAGTTCACTTCATCTTTGAGAAAGCTGGCCCTTACTTTTTGTAGGATCTTTTTGTAATTTTCTTTACGTGTAATCTTATTGCATCATCTGCATATCTTATTAAAATTGTAGCCACCTATAATGAATTCTGGTAGGACATCTAATTCTCCCAGAATGACCTCGTTGAAAAGGTCTGGTAAGGAGACTCATCCTTGTCTTTCAACCGATTTTATTATTTTATATCTGCTGAGCTCATTTGCCATTCATATACAGGCGGTTTGCTGCCAGTATAGGCTCTTGATTATTGTAATGCCTTTCCCAAATATGTCCAGGTTGCTGAGCAGTTCCAACAGATCGTTCTCAAACGCCTTTGCGTAATCTATAAAACATGGGTGCACATGCTTCTGCATTTGTATTACTCTTTCCCTAAATGTCGTTCATCATGTACGAACGCGCAAATGTTTGTTTTTTTTTATACTAACATTCACTCAGTAAATAGCTCGAGAGCCACCCAAGCTAAAAGTTTATATTGTTAGCTTAAAAGCCGCCACCTGGGGCAGCAATTAAGCTAACTCCTACAGAGGGTCTTTGATTGGGTCTTTACTTCAACAAAGACACATCATGATTTTATTAAACTTGAACAATAACTTTCAAACAATTAACAGTTTTCATCAAAACAATG